GTTACATGCATTAAAAGATTCTGTTATGGCATATGCAACTGTTATGAAATTTATGAAAAAACTAATGAAGGAATTTACTTTCAAAAATTGTCATTGAGATTATAAAATATAGAATCCTTTGAATAAAAAAAATTATATAAACACTCACTGCAGGATGGGTCAGTCATCCTGTTGAAATTCAACCTGGGGGTAATGTGAATTGACTCTTAAGATGTGGTTTTACCTCCGGTTGTAAATGAGTGTATTCCATTTCTTTATATTTATAAAACCATCATTATAAAATCAAATTATCATTATCTGATATTAATTTTACAGTTACATGTACTATTATTTTCCTATTGTATAATATTTATTTTTGTTCTTACCTTCTCTCTATATATATTTTATTTCTACTGACCAATCTTTTCTATATACACACGTATTTGATATCACCACTTGAACTTTTCAAATGTAAAATATCTGATTAAGTGAAATGTTTATAATATATATATATCATGATGAAATATTCGATAATTTATTATAAAATAAACTACTGATCCAGGGAGCTCCTGGCACCCCAGGTGAAGTATATACGGAGGGCTTCTTCGGAAGTGTTACCTCAAATCATGTTGTATGTTATTGACAATAAATTAAAAAAAAAAAAGATAAATGGCGGAAAACTGGGACTTTTTTTTCATACGGAAATCAAAATTTATGTGTCATTTCTCAAGAGAGATGACAAAAATATGCTATTCAAATTAAGTTAAATAGAATTCTATTTCATTTACTATCAAATCATTTATGAAAATTAGATTAATTCAGAAAAATGAGATGGACTATTTTTATTGCAGAAGTTTCTTCGAGTTTATATAGACTGGTACGAGTTTGTATTGAATATCACAGGGGAGTAAATTGGGCAACACAGAAACACCACGACGGCCGCTACTATATAATTCATTGTAAAATTACTGCGCTAGAAACCGCGTGATAACCTAGGGAGTCTGAACATAGTTCAACTCCCAAAAACGATACATTTTGATGTATTTATGTCCGTAAAAGCTCTAACGTTGAATATTTTGTACAGCGTGTCTCCCATGTTGGTAATATGTATATTTATATATGTTGGTTTTTTTGTTAAACGCAATAAAAAATATTTTGTTTTATTACATATTGTTTTATTACATTTTGCGTTGTCTTCAGTGCAAAAAAAATAAAATTACGCAAAATGTAACAACGAAAAAGCACATTATTACATTTTGCGTTGATCTCGACGCAAAATGTAATAACGCAAAATGTAATTATCTAAAAATCGTGTTATTACATTTTGCGTTGATCTCGACGCAAAATGTAATAACGCAAAATGTAAAAATCCAGGTTAATTACATTTCGCGTTGTTATTACATTTCGTGTTGTAACATAGCATATCTACTCCTTTTTAGGAGCTATTTTTTGCATAAATTATAAATTTATAAAAATTACCAGATTTAGGATATCTTTTTAAAATTTTTTCCAGTTTTTGACGTTATGAATATATTAAGTTCATTAAGAGGGTCACCAATTATGTCATAGAATAAAACGTATAAACTAGACGCTCTTGAATATTTAAACTTACATGTAGTACTTATTATTATTTTTATAATAATTCAAAATATGTGATATCTGTCTTGTTCTGTACATGTAGTACAAAAAAGATAGAAAAAAGAAAATTAAAAAAAAAATAAAAAAACAAACAGGAATTTTAAAATGCCACCTTTGGAAACCAGAAAGTACAATATTGTATTCCCTGCATAATATGATCGATATATATAGTATTACTCAACAAATAAAACAAAAATAGTTGGAGCAAAAAGGTAAATATATAGCATTTGGATTGATAAATTGCTCTGAAGAGTGAAAAATACTATTTTCCAATATTATCCTATATTTAATGTAGCTGTACATGTATTTGGATTTGGTCTTTATAAGAATAACCAGCAGTAGATTTTCAATAAATTTAACGTTGATGTCAAAGTAAGGTACATATGCTATCAATTTAAAGAGGATCTTTAGAGTACATTTAGTTTGTTCAAAACACTTAGTGGGCTCCCTTAAACACAAAACGCCTTTTTATCAGGATCCACAAGTCTTACGAACAGCAGTACATTGCCTTCTAAAGTTGTTTTAAATTGGAACTTACAGGGATCTTTATTAAAGAACTGTTTGAAGTACATTTAGATATTTTATGTCGTTTCAGTTTTGTTACATAGCAGTTTGTATTTGTAAGGATTACAACAAATGAAATGTATCTAATTGGAATAATTTTCTACAAAACACTAATTGCTATTTCTTTTAATTATCCATGTGCACTGTTGGGGATTGAGAATCAGCTTCAGAGTTTCGTAAATAGGAGGTATGATCAAACGATGGTCTAGTAACGAATATCCGTTACTTCCATCGTTATCCCTATTCGTCTCGATTATTTATGATTACTTTTAAACCTTTCCAAGAAAAAATCTCTCAATTCATTAAACAAATTTAAAACATTAATAGTGTTTTAACCATATGTTAAATCTACCAGGGAATCGGTCACGTGAGACCTCAATGATCATACACAGGCAGATCTGAAAGACTGCTATATAATTATATATTAAAAGCTTCATTAGCAATAGATTTAGAAGCAGTTGATTGTCGTCGAAGAACCCACTGTTTAATCTGAAAAACATATTTAAAAAAACAAACTATTTGTATGTCTTAAGATGATTAGTCTCTATTGTTTTGGACAAATTTTAGTTCTCTTACAGACTTGCATCTCCCAGTGCTTCGAACCGTTTGATCCAAAAACTTTGCTCGTAAGCAATTATGAAAACTCCTCATTCCCCGGTTTTAAGCTCCTGAACAATGCCGACATTGCAACATGCATGGTAGTTTGTTTCAGGTTTAAGTTGTGTCGCTCAGTGGATTGGATACAAAAAGAAAATATATGTCACCTTAACACAAAGTTTTTCACCAAGAATGACAGCAGTTCAGTGTCTACAGGCCATATCTTTCATTTCGAAAAGGAACATTTTCCAACGGTAAGAAAGAAATCATAACACATTTCTATAAGAATAAATTGAATCATATGCTGTTTATTATATCACAACTTTTCGAGGGGTTTAATGTTCGTTGATTTCAAGGCACGAGGAGACAAACGAATTGAACGAATTCATGTCCACCACGAAATGTAAAATATTGAAAACATAACTACTCAACAAATTCAAGTCCACACTAACCAAGAGTTTTTCCTAAAAACACGAAAATTTGAACCCAAGAAATAACTGTGATTTGATTTTACTTCAGCACTTGGCAGGCAGATGTCTGAATCATGACTGTACTGAGAATGAAATCTGTATTGCTGGGAAATGTGTCTATGCATCAGAAGGTAAAATATCAATTTGCGTACTGTAGGAAATGTCTTTTAAATTTAGTGATCTTGCACATATTTTTTTGATCTAGATAAAACATATATCAAAATTTTATTTCTAAAATCTTTGATAAAGATTTTTATCTTCTAGTTTCTGTTATTTGTTTGACGTATTAGATGTTTAATGTCAGAGTCTTTTCTGTAGTATAATAACATTGTAAAGCTTAAAAAAATGGGAAAAAAAACTTTTATCATGAAACATCAGTAAATCTGAATGGGATTATTGTGCTTATAAATATAAATATTTTTTAAATATTTTCCTTGAAAAAAAAAGCCGTGTTATCTTTATACGCTTTGTTTGTTTGAAGATATATATACTGATTGTGATTTATTTTTGCCTCGAATAGAAAAAAATTATAAAGACTGTTCAGATATTGTGAAAAAAGACCCAAGCAAGAAAGGACAAGATGGGGTGTACATTATTTACCCTGACACCCGGAAAGAGGTCTTCTGTGACATGACGACAGATGGAGGAGGGTGGACGGTGACTAGTGTTTTCATTTTTGTTCAATGATCACCGAATATTCAGTTAAATGTCCTCTTATAAGGTACTGTAAAATCACATATTTTCATGGGGTCAAATTTCCGTGGTTTGAGGAAAATCTCTTGGTTCATTGAGATAAGATTTCGTGGATCAAGATTTTATGATAAGTTATGAATGTAACATTTCACATTTCGTGGAGGATATGAAATTGTGCGTCTCGTAATACCTCGATAGCAACGAAAATTTAACCAACAAGAATATTTGTGATTTCTCAGTATTTCATTTTTAACTAGACAATTTCAAACAGTTGCAGATCTTAAAGGGTATAATAACACATTAAACAAAACTTAATGGTGATATTTATCTCTTGCTAATTGTGATGTGTAAACTGTCCTGGAAAATGATCATTTTAAATATAGTATGGAAAGCGAAAGGCCACGTCCTTTCTTGATAATTAATAGCATTTGCTTAATATTAAGGGGCACTGTAAAACGATTTTTATTCGCGTGCAAGAATTTTTCGCGAATTCGGAAGGGCCTCGTCATCGCTAATATTTCTCACTGAGAACTGATTCTTAAAGTACGTGTCTATTCACAGGAGATCCGTAATAGGCCTGATGGCAAAATATAAGCCGTCGCGAACTAGTTAACCTCTGGTGAATCGATAAATGAAGTCTTCGCGAATGGTTTACAGTTCACCCTTACAAAAGGAGGTTGAATTTTAGTACGCGATTGAGTATTTTTAATACTTGCAGGCACAGAAGTTTTAATAAAGAAACAACCCACAAGTTTCTGATTTGGAATTGGTTTCTAAAGCCTTTACTGGGTGAACGAGAGTTGTTCAATAAATAATGACCTAAGTGCTCCGAAAGAGAGAAAAACGCTTTAAAATGATTTAGCCTTAATGGTTTTTACTTAAATATTCTCTTTTAATTCAAACACGTGTTATTAATTATTATTTAGGCCCTGTTTATTAAGAGTATTACAATACACATTGGCATATTTTCTAACTCAAAATAACAGATAATTTAGGAGAATATTACTATAGTGATTTTAACAAAAATCAAATGAATTTGGTATCTTTTATTGTTTACAGGTCATTCAGAAACGTCAAGATGGTGACGTCGACTTCTATATGTCATGGCTGGCCTATAAACATGGATTTGGGAACGCCTCAAAGAACTATTGGATAGGTATATAATACTATATTTAAGTTAAAACTTTCTTTTAAAAATGATCTTTCTATTTGTTTTGTTTCTTTATTCTTTTATGTAAATTGAATAATTTTGATAAATCGTGTTTAATAGATGAAGGATATGGAGATAACGAATAGTATGCAATATCAAAGTCCATAAAACAAAGCAAAATAGGAGCAGAGCAAACACGGACCTTCGAAACATCAGAGGTGGGATCAGGTGCCATGGAGTAGTGAGCATCCCCTGCTGACCGATCACAGGTTTAAAGCAATAACCTATTTCCGGCTAGAAATAAAATAGCAGACAAAGTTTAAAGTCAATCTGATGATCAAAATTAGGGATATTTTAAAAGTTCAAAATCGGTTAAAATTTGAACGTAAATAAGAGTTTGAATTTTTTTTATTATGATAATCGTGTACTGTTCGAGCAGCGAGCGGTGGGGTAGAAGCACATCTCAGGGGCTGTAAATGTACATTTACATATATATATAGGGAATGATGCAATCCACACCTTAACTAAGGATAAAAACCAAGAACTCCGAGTTGATCTTGAGCGTTATAACGAACGACAGGCCTATGCTGTGTATTCCACATTTTACATCGGACATGAAGTCACTAAATATATACTGACAGTATCGGGATACAACGGGACTGCGGGTAAGTAGTGTGAATCTTCCCAAAAATGTAATAGGGAAAAAAATTAATATACCCCCCCCCCCTCAAAAAAAAGGGGGACAACTGTAGATCCTACGACAAGTAAACGCATTGAGGCCCACCTGCATCTACCGGGTTAATGAAAATTTTCTATTATAGAATATATTATTATTTTTTTTTTTTAATTTTCATTATTCGAATTCTTTCTTTTTCCAGTTTTATCAATTCAGATGTATTTTAATCTTTTTGTGTTTTTTTAATGAGCGTTAAAAATAAACACATAATAATGTCATAAATGTCAGGTAACTCCTCCTAAAGATAAAAAATGAGGTGTAAAATGTTTTTGGTTGCCTCTTTGTTTTTCTCTTCAAAGAAAATATACAAAAATATAATTCATCTATTGTATAATTATTATACGAGGGTTGTCCCGTAAAATCGTGGACAAGTTGTCTAGTAGGAAAAATAAACATCACTGCCTTATGAAATTTTCACTTTTATTTAGTACATATTTTAGTAATATACACAGCAAATTTCAGATAAATATATGCATAAATAAACACATTATGAGATTTTATGCCATGTATTGTATCACCTTACGGCGCGTGGATTATAACGTCAAAGTGTCTAAAACAGCGTTACGTTTTATCTTTGCTGAAAATGAAGTTGGATGAGTCCGACTTAAATTTAGGAATTTCATTGAAACACATTCTTTAGTCTCCATAAACAGTCGAAGAACCAATTGGCACCCTCATGCGATCTTCTGAAGATTTATTAGTAAGTTACGGACAATATTCTCACCACCATTCAACTAATAGAAAATCTCATATCGGCGTTCTACTGTGACAGTGTCTTTTGCTATTAAATAAGAAGTTTGTCCGTATGTTTTGTACTCCCCAGCTAGGGACTCGATCCAAAAGACTTTGCTAAGAAAACGGTTAAGAAAACTCCTATTTCATTTGTATACTTAAGATATGGTGATATTTATATAATTTTTTATTCTTCTATGGTCATTTTAAGTCTCTAAAGGTGTCATTACAACATCGAACTAAAACTGAACTGCTCTCCGGTGCGCCGTAACGTCATAAAACGTCGCCATTTTTTCGTGTGTTGTGTTTACCACTTTCCCATTTCGAATGCTCAAGAAACTGCCAAAAATTAACCAAATGCCTTAAAATTTATACAAAGACAACAAAATTGATTGTGGAATTGAATGAGGATAATTTTAATCCAAATCTTATGTATTTAAAACTTTTATTTTGAATTCAAACTTGTGTATTCTTGAATAAAACCTTGGTTTTTTGACCGTGCGCCGTAGGACACTACCCCGTGCACATTCAAGCATAATAAAATCTTTATTTTTCCCTATATTTTATCAAAAAAATTATCATGCACTTAAATATGATAAATAACAATTACTGAAATTTTCAGCTTAGTGCGCCCATTACTTTTCGAGAAAAACGCTTTGTCCACGATTTTACAGGACAACCCTCGTATATATATATATATATATATTAGATAGTTAATTCTTTTAAATAAAGTCAAGTTTAAATACTTTCATATGTTTTCATTATCATGATGTATTGGACTCAAGACATTGCAAAATTTTGTTACCGTTTGATGTTACCAACATTTGATGAGTTTTGTGTTCTATGGTTTTGATTTTAAATTCTAATTTACTGCAATCAGGCGTGCAACAAAATTGCATTATAATTAGCAATTCCCTTTTTAATAATCTTTACTTAAAATAAATTGAAAAAATGTTTGATACTATTTTGATACTCAAAACACTATGTCTATCAACAAATGAAAGACATTTTACAGTCAAATCTGAATACATGTAGTTTTCTTCATCATTTCAGTAATATACATTTTTAAATACATGAAAACTTGCTAATAATCATGTTTAAGATCTTGAATATATGAGATGAAAAATATCAATCAGATGAACTTTTTATAAACTAAGAACGAGTTATTGCGAGTTGTAATTTATGAAACAATGGTAAATATATACATACGTATCAGATATCAGGAGTGCAAGACAATAATGCAAAATTTACACCTCTCTTATATTGTACTTATCAAATTTATGTTAAGTTTATTTATTTCTTGGATTTTCTTATAATTCCTGCATTGTGCTTAATTCGATAAAATATTTTTTTTTGCATAAATGTTCAGGAGACAAGAACAATTCTTCGCCCATGAAAGATAATAATTCCCCTCGGGCGTTTCCGGCGGGGAATATGATTTTTCATGGGCGAAGAAATTGTCATGTCTCCCTCACTATCATGCAATCATAAACTTTTAATGATAAATGTGATGACTTTCTCAACCGTCAACTCCCTTAACCTATGTAACTGACTGTATACCCTTTTCAAGTACATGTACACATGTGTACCCCCCCCCCCCCCCTCAGTTTATTCAAATGGCAAGAACATGCTCTACCCAAGTACAATTTTAGAAACGAGGCAAGTTATTGACAAAAAAGTTGATGAAGCAAGGATATGAAGAGCCTCGTTTAAAGTCATCATTTTTCAAATATTATCGTTGATAAAATGACCTTGTCAGGAAATAAAAAGTATCATTAAATCAAATGCACGATGATACGTTTTTGTTCAAATTGTTAGGCCATTATTCACACACTGAACTGTCAACAGATTTTTCTTTTTCCCCCTTTCATGACAGAAAGCACCTATAGCGGATGCAGCCAGTTGACACTTTAGTATGATAAATATTTCAAAAAATAGCTATAACTTTTTTTGTCAATTTCAAGTATACTGTAATATTTTTAGGTGACAGTTTGGACGAACATAATGGTATGCAATTTAGTACATACGATCAGGACAATGATATTGTGTTTTATAAGTGTGCTGTAACCTATCATGGAGCCTGGTGGTACAAAGACTGTTACAACGCAAACCTGAACGGACTGTACTCCCCCTCTCCAAATAAATCTGGTCATTTTCCGATATGGAAGACCTGGGTGATAGAAGCTCTACGTAAGACCATGATGATGATAAGACCGAGAAACTGAGTCAGAATGATCAGCTATAAAGATAGGTTGTACGGGAGGTATACTGCAGCTCTACCAAAGATAATGATGTAATGATTACGAGGGGTGATCACAATCGTAACTTCTCGGGCCTTTTCACCCTAGCGTAAAAACGACCTCGAATGTATATGGTTGACGCCATGACAACCCTCCCTTTTCACGATCTTTGAAATAAATGCATGGGGACCTTTTATCTTTGGAATATTGAATTTAACTTTATTCAATATAATGATATTACCATGAATATACTATAGAAAGGACGTCTAACTCCGTATATCCTATATTTGAAGAAATAGGAAATGTATAATTTTTTAACATCCGGTCGTTTGTTGAACAAGTACAACTGAGGCAATCATTTTTATGGAATATCTTGGGATCTTTATTTTTTTGCAGTAGCGTATAATAATTTGTACACAGTTTATTAAGACAAAAGACTTCCTCTAAATTCAATCAATTATTGGATTGATAGTTTGAATGAAGGAATGCAGATGGTTCAATATGATATTTGTTATGTTGCCTAGTGAATGCAAGTTTGAAAAGGGATGTGTTTTTAATTAAGCAATTTGTTATCCGTGTCTTGTCAGCACCCATTTTCAGTCGACTCACACATATTTGAAACATCTCACTTGTTTTTTAAAATGATTTATTTCGCCTTTTTAGGTCCCCTGTGTCACTCAGGTGACCTATTGCCACCTGTTTTTGTTCGTCGTTCGTCGTCAATTGATCGTAAACTTTTAAACCTTTTCAGCTTAATTGGCCACTAAGTCAATTTCATACTGGCATTAGCATTTATGGGTGCAGGAGAACAAAAATTGTGAAATTCATGGCCCCTGTCCCCCTAGGGGCTGAGGGGCTGGGTCAACACCACTCATATTTATGCACCTTTAAACATCTTCTTTACTCCTGGACAGCAAGCAATCAAACTGTTGGCATGATTTATATAAGTATTGAGTCAAAAATGGTGAAAATCATGGCACCAGGGTTCGGGGCTCTAAAGCTAGGGCGGGGCTATGAAGTGAAGATGCATTATTTCTTTGAAAATCTTCTTCTCTGCTCCTGGGCATTTAACAAAAAAATGTAATGTATAGTTATGATAAGCAAGAGTGTCTCTTTCAAAATCATGAATTTCATGACCCCAGGGTCAGGGTTTCTGGGGTTAGTGCGGGGCTATATAGAGTATTTAGTACTAGTGAAAGCATTATTTCTTTTAAAATCTTCTCTGCTCCTGGTTACTAATTAAACTAACCAAGTACATAGTTAAAATAAATAAGACTGCTTCTTCAAACATTGTGAATCTCATGGCCCCAGGGTCAGGGGTTCTGGTATTAGGGCGGGGCTCTACTGATTATTATAGTGAAAATGCATTAATCCTAGAAATTATGACAATGATCTAAGTACATTTTTATGAGGAAGAAAGGTTCCTCTTTCAAACTGATTAATTTCAAAGTGGAAATGCAATATAGAATATATTTTTAAAAACCCTACATTGCAAGAAGAAAATACTTGCTGTGGGTTTCAACTCAACATTAAGGTACACCGATGATCAAGTAACAATAGTTTCTTCAGTTCAAACGTCGACTTGTTATATCCCAGTGACCTTTAAATTAAAGTCACCCCTGAATGTGCCACGATGATACGAATTTTTAATGTTTAGAAGTTTTACTGAGTATGGAAGATGAAGACGAAGGCCAATTGAGACTCTACTGTATAAGATTGATTGATTGTATATTGTTTAACGTCCCTCTTGAAAATTTTTCACTCATATGGAGACGTCACCGTATGCCGGTGAAGGGCTTCAAATTTAGACCTATACTCGGCACTCAGGGCCATTGAGCAGTGAGGGTTCTTTATCGTGCCAGCGCCTACCGTGACACGGGACCTACGTTTTTTTAAGGTCATATCCGAAAGACCCGTGACTTTCACTTCTGATGCCGAGCGCTTGGCGAAGGAACAGTCACTACCTATTTTTACGTCTTAGGTTTGAAGCGGCGCCGGGAACGAGAATCGAACCCGACCCTCCCGATCACGAAGCGCACGCTCTACCACTAGGCTACCGTGAACGGTCTACTGTATAAGAAAAGAAATGATTTCTTCATCTTTTTCAAAGTGAACTTTCCTTATTTGTAAAGTTATATTCCGCTATCACCTCATTATGGTTTGGCGAGTTAAACTTTGCATTAATATACCTTTTTATTATAGTTATTCAAAAAAATTGTTTTTCTTTTTCTAAATCATGTCATTCCTGCTCATCAAAATGATTCCTATGCGATTAGTTGCTATTGTTGTGCGAAAAAAAATGTTACTTCTGTTAGAGAATTCGATCATCACCATTAAGTTGTTATTCTATCCGAAAATATGTTATTCCTATTCGATAATTTTGTCTTTTCTATTCGTTAATAAAATAATATACATTTGATGACCATGTCATTCCTATCAAATTGAATTTACATGCAACCAGTTCTTGTTTTGTCATATTTCCCAGAATGCAATCATTGAAAAAGAATAAGAAAAACATCACAAAGGGGAGATAAAATTATGCAATAAGATAAGAAGTTTATCGAATAGGAATCGTATTTTTTATTCGAATAGAAATAGATGCTAGTATGTTTTCGAACAACTTTATTGCATATAAACCAAATAATTATCAAATAATAAAGATAAAACTATTGAATAGGAATGACAAAATAAGCGAAAAGGAATCGCAAATTTTCAAAATATATGACCTCGAATAGGAAACGCATGTTTTTGAGAGAAATGATATAAAAAAAATATTATGACATAGGAATCATATTGTCACTTTCCCTCCAATGGGTATAGCAATTTATCAAATACAAATTACAAATTATCAGAATAACCGCTAATCGAAAAGGAATCACCTTGTATTGAATAAGAATGATATGTTTTAGAATAAGAATATAATCTCATTCATAAGGTTATGCTCCAAAACCGACCAATTTATGAGCCAAGGCAGGCTTCTGAGAGATAAGTTTGTTACAGGGATTTCACCAACGTTCATGCTATGGTCGCTATATTGATATTTTTCACAAAAACCTATCACAGTATTCATTTTGGTCGATGTGTATTGTTCTAATTCGTAGGCTTTTAATTTAGTTAATTTTTATACTAAATTTCACTAGATGGGATGTTCTACCCACCTATCAATATAAAAAAGGCTCACTTTCTAAACACCAGTTTTCCAGGATTTTTATCATGTCCTATAACAATTTTGTAGTTATTTATGGATGCTATGGATTTTAGAAAGCATTGCCAAACAAGAGGCCAACGGGCCTTATAGGTCACCTGAGTATTGTGTAACAACTTTCAAACAATTAAATTTGGCTCGTATTTTAAACCAGAGGCCATAAAATTCACAATTCACAATTTTGAAAGAGGCACCATTGCTTATCATAGTTATTAACTTAGCATGCTTACTCTGTTTACTTAATACTCAAAGGTAGATCAGAGTAACAAAGAGAAAATGCATTTCCACTTTGTACCCAGTTCCCCAAAAGAACCACTGACCCAGGGGCCACATATTTCAAAATTTTGCAAAATTTTATCATAATATGGTTGATTAATACCACAGGCCTTTGGATCGCTTAAAAAAATTGTGTGTGTAAAAAAAAATATATTTTTTTTTCAATAACTCAATTTTTTTTTCTAAGCGATCTAAAGGCCTGTGATTAATACCAAAGAGCAAATTTCAAAGCATTAATTTATTTTCAGAATATGTGTACTCCCCCCCCCCCCTGACCCAGGGGGCATGAAAAAAACACTTTGCTAGATGCACCTTTCTTCATCATTAATATACCGGTATATAATTGGATCATTGGCATAAAACCCCGGAACAAAGCAAAATATTTTCAAAGAAGTAATGCATTTTTACTATATAATCAATAGAATAGAGCCCTGTCTTAACACCAGAACCCATAACCCTGGGGCCATAAAATTCACAAATTTGGAAGAGGCACACTGTTCATCATAACTATGTACTTATGTTAGTTTATTTAATACCCAGAAGCAAGGAAGAAGATTTTCAAAGAATAATGCATTTTCACTATATAATCAATAGAGCCCCGCCTTAACACCAGAACCCCTGACCCTGGGGTCATAAAATTCACAAATCTGGATGAGGCACTTTTGTTCATCGTTACTACATGTATGTACTTAGTTAGTATATTTAGTATACCCAGAAGCAGAGATGAAGATTTTCAAAGAAATAATGCATTTTTATTATATAATCAATAGAGTGCCGCCCTTACACCATAACCCCTGACCCTTGGGCCATAAAATTTACAATTTTGGTAGAGGCATTCTTGCTCAGCATAACTATGTACATAGTTAGTTTATCTAATACCCAGGAGCAGAGAACAAGATTTTCAAAGAATAAATGCATTTTCACTATATAATAATAGAGCCCCGCCCTAACACCAGAACCCCTGACCTTGGGGCCATAAAATTCACAAATCTGGAAGGGACATTCTTGCTCAGCATAACTATGTACATAGTTGGTTTATCTAATACCCAGGAGCAGAGAACAAGATTTTCAAAGAATAAATGCATTTTTACTTTACAATCAATAGAGCCCCGCCCTAACACCAGAACCCCTGACCCAGGGGCTATAAGATTCACAAATCTGGAAGAGACACTCTTGCTCATCATAACTATGTACTTAGTTAATTTATTTTATACCCAGGAGCAGAGAAGAAGATTTTCAAAGAATTTATGCATTTTCACTATATATTCTATTAACCCCGCCCTAGCACTTGATTCCCTGACCCAGGGGCCATGAATTTCACAATTTTGGTAGAGGACTCAATGCTGATTACAATCATGCCAACAGTTTGCCTGCTTGATGTCCAGGAGTAAAGAAGAAGATTTTTAAAGATTGCAATAATTTTAGTGGTTTTGGCCCCACGCCTCAGGCCCCAGGGGGGCTGGGACCATGAAATTCACAAATTCTGTTCCTTTACCCATAGATG